CCGTGCTGCCGGAGGGCCAGCGCCAAGGGAGCACCGTGCTGCCGGAGAGCCAGCGCCAAGGGAGCACCACGCTGCCGAAGGGCCAGTGCCAAGGGAGCACCGTGCTTCAGGAGAGCCAGTGCCAAGGGAGCACTGTGCTGCCGGAGGGCCAGTGCCAAGGGAGCACCACGCTGCCGAAGGGCCAGTTGGAGGGTGTTGCCCAAGATGAAAAGTTTCAGTTATGAGGAGAGACTGAATAGGCTGTGTTTGTTTTCCTTGGAGCGGAGGAGGCTGAGGGGGTACTGAATGAGAAATATAAAATTATGAGAGGCATTGAGGGGGTAGATCATGGGAATCTCTTCCCTATGGCAGACTTCTCGATAAGACCACAAGATATAGGAGCAGAATTAGGCCACTCAGCCGATTACATCTGCTCCACCATTTGATCAAGAGTGATATATTTCTATACCCAACTCTCCTGCCTTCTCATTGTAACCATACCAATCAAGAACTTATCTATCCCTGTCTTAAATACATAATATGATAGAATTCACCCTGCAGTTTGAGAGGGAGAATTTGAGATCAGATGTAATATTATTACTGTTGAGTCAAGGTAACGACAAAGACATGAAGGAAGACCTGGCCAGAGTTGATTGGAAGGACCGCCTAGCAGGGAAGAGGGTGGAACAGCAATTGTAGGAGTTTCTGGGTAAATTTTGGGAGGCACAGCAGAACTTCATCCCAAGGAAGAAGAAACATATGAAGGGAGGATGAGGGAACCATGGCTGACAAGGAAAGTCAGGGAAAGTGTACACGCAAAAGGAAAATGCATACAATGTGAAGGTTAGTTGGCAGCAAGAGGATTGGGGAGACTTTTAGAAACCAATGGGAAAGTTTTCAAAACCAACAGAGGATAACTGAAAAAACAATAAAGGAGGACAAAATGAAATATGAGAGTAAGCTGGTTAGTAATGCAAAAGGAGATTGCCAGAGTTTTTTGAGATATCTAAAAAGTAAGAGGGAGGCAAGAGTGGACATTGGACCACTGGAAAATGAGGCTGGGGATGTGGTAATAGGGAACAAACAAATGGCAAAGGAACAATTTTCAGTGGAAGACACCAGTAGTATACCAGAACTTCAAGTGAGTCAGGGAGCAGAAGTAAGGGTAGTGGCCAACACTAAGGAGAAGGTGCTGAAGAAGTTGCATGGTCTGAAGATGGGCAAATCACTTGGACAAGGGGAGATCTTATAGAAACATATAAGATTATGA